TCTTTTGTATCTTTGGTTTTGCAGCTGCCGCAGGAAGTCTTTGTTTTGTAGCTGTAGTTCTTAAACAGTTTTAAGAAAATTTTATATTTAAACTTATTTTTTTATGCGTTTTTCGAAGGTGTAAAAGTTGACGCTACGTTTTTTTTTTATTATTTTGTTGCATTTTTATTCGTGCCACATTAAATTCAATTTATTACTCTTGTTTTATTTCTGTATGATGTTAAGCGATCTGGACAGGATGCTGTAAAATTTATTATGTGTAAATGTGTTAAAACTTGAATACGATATTTTATGGTGATTTCTGTTTTATTTTTGAGATTGTTTTTATGTCGGGATTTATCTTGAATTTTGGTGGGTTTTTATATATTTCACAGGAAATTATCATGTGCCAGAGGAAGGGAAGTTTGTGGCAAAATAAGAAAATTGAAATGAAATTTTTTCATTTTTCTTTGTTAGACAAATTATTAGAAAAGCAATATAAAAGCTAACATAAAATATTGCACTATATTATGAAAAAAAAGCTTTAAGAAAACTTTATATATCAAAGTTTACCTTATTTCAAAGTTGATCAGAAAACTTTTCTCAAGCATACATTGCGATAGAGCAAATTATTAAAAAGCTTTGACAACAACTTAAATTTAATTCTTATACTTGCTTATAACAAAGCTTCAGGAACAAAAGCTTTAAACAAAGTCTGTATTTTCGAAAAAAACTTTCTTAATACTTAACGTATGCTCTGACATTCTTTAGAAAATAAAACTTTCCCTTCTTTCAAAGTTGTTTAAATAGCTTTGAAGCTTTTGTCAAAGTTTTACTTATTATGAAATATAATATAAAATATTGCACAATATTATGAAAAAAGCTTTAAGAAAACTTTATATATCAAAGTTTACCTTATTTCAATGTTGTTCAGAAAATTTTGGCCAAACTTGTAATTTGAAAGAACAAATTATTAAAAAGCTTTGCAAACAACTTAAATTTAATTTGTATTCTTGCTTATAACAAAACTATAGGAACAAAAGCTTTAAAAAAATTCAATAGTTTCGAAGAAAACTTTCTTAATAAGTAACGTATGCTCTGACATTCTTTAGAAAAGAAAACTTTGCGGAAACGTGATTGTTACCCTTCTTTCAAAGTTGTTTAAAGAGCTTTGAAGCTTTTGTCAAAGTTTTACTTATTATGAAAACCAAATTATTGCAAAAACACTTGAAAATTATTTTAAGTTGATCTTTATACTTATCTGCTTGAAGATTTAAAAAGGCTCTCAATACTTAACTTATGATCTGTCATACTATAGAAAAGAAAATTTTTTACGTCATTCTAAACTTTTACAAAACTTTAGAATGATGTTAAAACTTCAAAATATTGATGCCTTACTAGACTAGTGGTAAATGTTCAGAAACTATTAATTAACTCTTTTAGTTCTCTCATCTTCATTTAATTTTTCCCTCCGAATTACCTTTTAATGTTCTTCTTCCTTCCTTGTTTTTAATAATTTCATAGCTTCCCTATAATAAACATAATATCCATGTTTTCAATCACCATCTCAAACATCCTCAAAACTATAATTTTATTTGTTTAGCAAATTATTTTCCATGTGTAGTATTTTTCAAACAAAATCTAAAGATTTTTATCTATGATCATCATAGTTTTATAATTAAGTCATAAAATAGGCTTAAATTAGTATTATTGTTATGAAGGTTCAAAACAAACACAACATGTATGATTGTCTCTTGGCTTAAACCAATGTGAAACCTTTGAAATACTTTGGTAAGGCACGCATGCGGTTTAAAGTGGCGCGTAGTATATGATTTGAAAATGTTATAAGAGTTGGGTGGAAGATAAAACGAAACATTGCAATTATCGTATTGTAGTCCTAACAATTGCCATAATCCTACAAATGTAATAAAACAGTAGGATTTCTAGTATTCTGGTTGGTGATTTGGGAAGTGAAAATTTTTGTTAGATTTTTAATTTTTTGGTAAAAAGCAGAAAATAATTTTGCGATGAGAAGAATAATTTTAAAAATAATAACAATGTATTATATGTAATATGTTAGAACACTATTATAATACATTATAACACTATTATAATGCATTATAACACCATTATAATACATTATAAAGCAATAATAATGTATTATAACACATTGTAAAACAATTATAACATGTTATAATACATTATAACATACTTATAACGTGCTATTATAATATATTCTAAAACATTTATAATCTGTTGAGGGATATTAAAACACCATGACAATGTGGTCAAAATGTATTCTAATAAATTATAAAACAATTATAAAATTGTTATAATACGATTATAATTGAATATAATGATTTATAATATAAATATGACAGTTTATAATTCATTATAACACTATTATAATGAGTTATAACACCAATATAATACATTATAACATTAAATACAATTATAACATGTTATAATATATTATAACACACTTATAACGTGTTATTATAATATATTCTAAAACATTTATAATCTGTTGAGGGATATTAAAACACCATGATAATGTGGTCATGGTCAAAATGTATTATAATAAATTATAAAAGTATTTTAAAATTGTTATAATATATTATAATACAATTATTTTGTTATAATACGATTATAATTTAATATTATGCTTTATAATATAAATATGACAGTTTATAATTCATTATAACACTATTATAATGCATTATAGCACCATTAAAACATTTATAATCTGTTGAGGGATATTAAAACACCATGACAATGTGGTCATGGTCAAAATATATTATAGTAAATTATAAAACAATTATAAAATTGCTATAATATATTATAATACAATTATAATGTGTTATAATACGATTATAATTTGATATAATGCTTTATAATATAAATATGACATTCTATAATTCATTATAACACTATTATAAAGCATTATAATACATTATAACACAATAATAATGTATTATAACACATTATAATACAATTATAACATGTTATAATACATTATAACACACTTATAATGCGACACTTATAATGACAATGTGGTCAAAATGTATTATAATAAATTATAAAACTATTAAAAAATTGTTATAATGTATTATAATACAATTATAATACGATTATAATGTGTTATAATGCTTTATATTATAAATATGACAGTATATAATTCATCATAACACAATTATAACACTTTTTTCATTATAGCTGAATTATAATGTTTTATACTTCTATTATACATTTTGTTAATGCATTGTAATACAATTATAATTTATTATACATTATTACACAATTAGTGTTTTATAATTCATTATAACAAACTATAAAGTTTTATAATTTATTATAACACTATAATAATGAGTTTTAATTAATTATAACATATTACAATTTATTATAACACCATTATAATGTTCATATTATAAATCATTATAATCCAATTTTCCGATATTTCCTTATTTTTTCTATTAATGTGTTTTTTTGAGCAAAAATTTCTCTTTTACTCACTTGCATAATCGCAATGCTATAGTAATTGCCAAAAGATCTACATTTTCAGCTGTTGAATTTACAATAATTTTGTTTGTTTGTTTATTTATTATTACATGAATTATTTTTTATTATTAGATTTTTATTTCTTAAATAAATACAAACAAAACTAAAGAACTTATTTCTTATATAAAAATCACCTGCGGTGAAATTCTTTTTAAAGTTTTTTTTTTCTTACGTGATCATATATATTTTTGTTGTAGTTAGTTACTCTTGTTGTTTCTTTATATTGATCTTTTTATTCCTTTAACAAGTGTAAGTTAAAAATCTATTCCTAACATTAAATCTACTCAGAAAAGTAGTTGTATTGAATGTTTATTTGTTTTTCTTCTTCAAAAGCTATAATATTCTTGTCTTGTATCTGGTATTTGGATTTTTTTGTATAGATTTTAGAAAATTATTGTTGTATTATTATATGTTATTGTGGTTGTTGTTGGGGCTTAAAGAAAATCTCTTGCAAACTTCCTAGTGCTAAGGATTATCGTAGAAATAATATTTATTTTGTTTCTATGAATTTCTTGTTTAGTTTTTTTTTTAGATGTTTGTATATAATTTCTTTTTTTTAGAATTTTGTTGTAATAAAATTTTATTTATTTTCCATGATTCTAATTTTTATTTGTTGCTCTTATGCAAACTCATATATACTATAATGCAATAATCTGGTTGATAGAGTACTTTTGTCTAGGTCTGTTAAGTATGTTATGGGTTAAGTAACACCAAACTATGAGATCTGAGGTTTTTATATTGAAATAAAAAAAAAAAAAAAATCTGGAAAACTATTGCAGGGTTTTTTATTTATATTGCTTTTAGGGTAGCAATGCACACTGGGTATAGCTAGTAATTAATAAACAGCACCCTGCATGATTAATTGTTTTGAATTCTAAAACTGTCAAGATCTTGTGATTATGATCGATAACTTTTTACAAGATCATTTATTATAAATTAAACTTATTTCATTTTTTACATTAAAGTGTGACACTTGGACCACAGTGTTTGAATGTTGCTTGTGTAGAGTATTCTGTGAATTCGTTCCAAACCTTTGTCTATTACAACTTCCTGATATTTCTAGATTTGTTGTACCTCCTAAAAAAACAAATATTTAAGTAGCAGTTTAAATTCCTGCTTGTTTAGCCGAACACTCTTGATTAAGATAATTTGTTTATCAGTTTCTAGTTTATGTTTAAACACATACACAGGCCTTTATGTAAGTCTAAGCTATTTTCTTTATTTGCTAAATATTTGTGGCTGTTCGCTTTTTTTTTTGTTTGCCCAATCTAAAGATAGTTTTACCGCACGCAAACTCTAAATTGGCCTAAGGTGAGATTTTTTTTATTAGATGATATAAATTTAAATGGATTTTAATGTTTAAGACAACAGCAAACCAAACCACCAAGCATTACACCAAAAAAAAGTAGACTATTTGGAGGTGGGTTCCTTAATACTAACTTAGAGATTACACATGTACCAACCTTGTTTGTTAATATACGCAAGTGGTTGATTCTGCCTTCTTTTCGGTTTTTTTTTCGAATATTTTCTGGACTTTTTGTTTATTCTGCAAATAGAGTAAAAGAGAACAAGTGTGCTATAAAGATTAATCAATCACTTTTTTTAATATGTGTGTGGTTATTTAATAATATATTTAAATAAATGATTATTACTTTTTAAGGAGGCAAAAATTAAACGATGGCTATTAATTTGCTGCAGATTTGCATACAGTTTGAAAGTAAATAATTGCTAGTTGAGGGAATTGAATAATTGGATTTTATAAAATTTGTTTCAAATAATTTTTGCCTTTTGTTATAAGTATTTTAAAGCAATTATAATGGGCTGTTTATTACTATAATATGATTATAATACATTATAATACAAATATAATGTGTTATGACACATTATAACAATATTATAATGGGTTATAGTACATTATAATACTATTATAATGGGTTATAGTACATTATAATACTATTATAATGTGCTATAATACATTATAATACAATTATAATGGATTATATTACATTTTAATACAATTTTATTGCATTACAATGCAGTGTAATACGATTATAATGTATTGAATTGCATTTTAATTCAATAATAATGTATTATAATACTTTATAATACGATTATAATGTGTTGTGTATCATTATAATACAATTATAATTTGCTTTTTTACATTATATCACAATTATAATGTATTATAATATATTATAATGTTTTATAGCACATTATAGTAATATTATAATGTACTATATTACATTGTAAGCCAATTATAATGTACGTTTATACATTATAATACGATTATAACGTGTTATAGTATATAATGAAAGGGGTTTATGTGTTATCATAAATTAAAAGACAATTATGATGTGTTATAATACGATTATAATATGTTGTAGATCATTATAGAACAACTATAATTTGCTTTTTTACATTATATCACAATTATAATGTATTATAATACAATATAATGTTTTTTATAACATTATAGTACTATTATAATGTATTATATTACATTGTAAGATAATTATAATGTACGTTTTTACATTATAATGCGATTATAACGTGTTATAGTATATAATAATTGGGGTTTATGTGTTATAATACGTTATAAGACAAATATTATGTGTTATAATACATTATAATACAATTATAATTTGTTTTTTACATTATATCACAACTATAATGTGTTATAAAACATTATAATGTTTTATAGTACATTATAATACCATTATAATGTATTGTATTATATTGTAAGACAATTCTAATGTATGTTTATACATAATAATACGATTATAACGTGTTATAGTATACAATAATAAGGGTTTATGTATTATAATACGTTATAAGACAATTATGATGTGTTATAATATATTATAATAAAATTATAATGTGTTCTAGATAACTATAGTATAATTATAATTCGTTTTTTACATTATATCGCAATTATAATATGTTATAAAACATTATAATGTTTTATAGTACATTATAATACTATTATAATGTATTGTATTACATTGTAAGGCAATTATAATGTATGTTTATACATAATAATACGATTATAACGTGTTATAGTATATAATAATAAGATTTTATGTATTATAATACGTTATAAGACAATTATGATGTGTTATAATACATTATAATAGGATTATGTCACCGATATAATGTGTTATAATAAATTATAATGCAATTATATGTGTTATAATACATTATAATTCGATTATAATATGTTGTAGATCATTATAATTTGTTATTTTACATTATATCACAGCTATAATGCCATTATAAAATCTTATAGTAAATTATAATACATTTTATGCATGATAATACGCTTGTAATACGATAATCCTAAACTATTATTACTTTTCTTTAAACTTTAAATATTTTTCATTACAAATTTTAACGTTTTTTAAACCACTTCCTTTATGGTAACTCTGCCATACAAACATCACCTTCAACTTTTAAATTAAACACTCCCGTTTATCAAAACTACACTTCATTTATCTAAAATACCTAATAACTAAAGCAAATATAACCCAAACAAATTAGGTCATACTCTATAGTAATTGGTAGCAATCATCCATGCAATTCTAGCTTTTTAAACAACCACCTATATTCTAACAAAAACCAATTCATAACTGATTATTTTCATAGACATAATCTAGAAACTAAAATTACTCTACATTTTAATACAAAGAAACAACGATTAACCTTGTTTAAACCCCAATTTCTTTCTTTGCTTTACATTGAATTAAATTTAATTTTCTTAAATTTTCGAATATTATAGATTTTATCTTTATATATACAATTTTATTATATAATCACAAACAAATACTAGTTTCTTTAACTTCCACAGAAATAAAGAAGAAAGAAAGAACTTAAGTAAAAAATTACATAACATTACAAGGCCACTTTAAAAGAAATTGCAGGTCAGCGCAAAACTAATTCAGACAAACCATGTACAAAACAACACATGTACAACTAAAATGAAACATATACAACAGAACAATTTTCAGCTAAAATAGTATAAAATCCTCAACTTGTTGTAGCTAAAAGCTCACAAACCTAAGGCAATAATGTAACAGACTGACAAACTTGCAGACCAAAATGGACATTAACATTTGAGCTTTTGATAATAAGGGTCATCAAGTAAAAGAATAGCAAGAAAAATACAAGATTAGCACAAACTTCTCAAAAAGCGAAGTAATGAGACGTAATACAAAGTTTCTTGGCTATTTTCTATTTATCTTTATTTTTCAAAGTTGCTTGTCCTTTTAACTCATATTTTTTCTAGTTTTTTTTTTGTTCAACAATACAATAAAACGGTAAATTGTATTTCTAAATAATTCTTAGTTTTTTTTTTCATTTTTTATTTCAAAGCTCCATTTATGCCATTAAATGTCTCTCTAATGACTTTTCTAACACACTCACCCCATTAATATTTAACAGAACATTTATACAAGTTCCGTCCAGTCCATTTATGTGACTGGTTACAAGCCCATTTAGTCATTTCGTATTGTCAGTTTATTCACCGCCTTGCTGATAAAAAAAAATGTTCCAAAACTCTTTTTTTTAACATTTTATGCGGGCTTTTTTTCTGTTTTTTAGCAACGAGTTCTTAGGAATTTTTTAGTTTTCTAAAAAAAATTATCACTTTTGTTGGAAAAAGCTAGTTTAATTGCTATAGAAGAAAGCTATAGTTTATTGACGTAAGATAGGAGCACTTTAAAAAAGCTTAGTAGCAAATACTCTTAGACTTTCGGTTAACTTTTCCAATTACTAAAGCTTTATTTATTAGACATTAGATTTGTTTACAAATTAACATTAATTTTTCTATTTCAAAGCTTATAAACAGAAGCTTTCACAAAAAAACTAAATTATACACAAATATTAAAAAAGCTTAATTTAAAAGCTTTTAGAAAATTGAAGATAGGATTTTTATAATAAATTTTATAATTACCAAAAGCATTTTTATCACAATAAAAGCTTTTCTTATTTAAAATGTTGTTTCATCATACTAAGTTTATTGCAGAAATAAAATATAGAAACTCCTTTTGTCTTCTCCACAGAAGCTTTCCCCTCCAACATGTCTTTCGATAAAAAGTCAAATGCTTTTGAAAACTTAAAAAGCTTTTTCCCAAAATATGTTTCGGAAAAGTTTTCTCAATAGAATTTGTATTTACTAAAAAGCTTTATTAGCTTTAAAGTCGTACAAAAGATTTTAAAAACAATTTTCATTAAACATTTTTTATTTAAAAGCTTTTTTAAACCACAACTAATAAAACTTTCGCAAAGAAGCAAAAAAAGAAAAAGTTTGATTTAAAAAAGAATAAAAATTAGTTGTCAGTATTTTTCATAAAAAACTTTCATTTAGAGAAATATAGCTTTGACAATAATAAATTGTCTTTTTTATCACTAAAAGCTTTTGACAAAATTTAAAAACTTTCCTTTAGAGAAATATGGCTTTGACAATAATAAATTATCTATTCTTACCACCAAAAGCTTTTGACAAAATTATTTTTTTACTTTATTTAAAAAGCTTTATACTCTTAAAAGCTTTTTACTCTAACAGCTTTATTCTGAGAAAGCTTTTTTGCTAAAATTTCATACATATAAACCATATTTCCAACAAAAAGCTTTCACAACAAAAGCTTTTTTTAAAAAGCTTTACTCACCAAAGTGCTTTTTGACAAAATTTTTTTTTAAAACATGTCTCCAAGAAAAAGTTATTATATTTTTTCGCCACAGCTTTAACAAAACCGTTTTTTCACAACCACCGTCAATTCACCACGAATCACTTTTTCCACAAAAAAAGCTTTCACATCAACAATAATTTTACTCCTTTTAGTTTTATCATAAAATTAAAAGCATTTTTTAATTAATTTTTTAATACAGAATTTTTTCTCATAAAACTTAATCCTTTCAATTATTTAGTAATCATTTTTTCTACAAATTTTTTTCTTCTAAATAAAATGTATTTCATTTTAATTTGTTGATTTATTTAAACTATTACTGACCACCACTTAATAACATTTTTGTATCTCTTGCATTTAATTCACCAAATCACTTATAAACAATGTATTTGTACAAACATTTTTTAGCAATTAAAAAAATATTTAAAAACAAAAGACTTGCTATTTATAAAAGGAATTTTTTGTAATTTTCTCAAGGAAAACCTATTTTTCTTGTAGTTTAAATGTCCACTAAATGTTGGGAAATCATGGTCAAATGTAACCTACTTCTGTGACAATACAACAATCAACTAAATCTATAATCACAATTATACCACTTTGTTGCTAAACTTCTTTAAAATAATTTTCTTTCATTGTTTTGATGTTGACTTGTGTTTGTTTTACGAACCACTTACAGAGCCATTGATGTAACCTGTCATTGAATCACAAAGCAATTAAATTACAAATAAATAAGAAAACTAACAAACAAACATGCATTCATACATACATATTTATTTATTTATTTGTTTGTATGTTTGTCTACATATTTGTTCATAAAAATCACTAGAGAAAGATTGAAAAAAAAAATTAAATAAATCTCAAATAA